AATGGCTCAGAGTTCGCCCGCCCCGCCAGCGTCACGTGGGGCTCCTCATTCCTTAAGGGTGGCCTGGGAATTAGTGTCGGTGTAGTGGGAGCCCGTCAGCCTCCCTGTGACCCAATCCCGCGACTCGGCCGCCTCCTCCCCCTCGCGCGCCACCCTCCCCNCACTCACCCACTTCGCTTAGTCCTCCTTTTCTCCACCACTGCACTCAACGCTGCAGCCTGTTCCACCTCCCTCCCGCTCTTCCTCTCTCCCTCTCTCTCTCACGCACACAAACACATGCACACAAGGCGTTCTTCCTTTCTCTCCCCCCCTCCCCTTACACACATACACACCCACCTCGCGCTCTACGCGGAGCCCTGCCTCTTCTCCCCTCCCCCCTCGGCGTTTTCCCCTTCCCACATTTTCACACACCCTGTCACCTCACACGAGCAGTCTTTCCCTTTCTCCCCTCCAGCTACCTTTTGAGGGACGTCTTTTTCTTTTCTGGGATTTGCTGCTTCTGATCCACACCTACCCTTACATATAACCCCTCCTCCTCCTCCCCGGACTGGAAAGAAAAAAAGACAGCCATCCATAGACAAACTTTTGCCGTGGTCAGTTTCCTCATGTAACTGTCAAACGCCTTCCCCCCCCCAAGTCCCACTCTGTTCCTTTCTTCCCCTTCACCAGCCAAACAGCTATCCAGAGTCCACCATTTTAACAGCCGAAGATGATGGAACCCAAGGCTTCCTTCTCAAAACATCTCCTCTACCTATTGCTTTCCTTCCCCCCCCCCAACAGATCTTGCTCTCTGTCGTCCCTCCTCAGATTTTCCCTCGCTCCTCTTCCACACGAGGTGCCCATCTCTAACTGTCTTTCCTCACCTCAGATACCATTGTGGGCATTCATTTTTTTCCCAGCCCCCAGACGTTGTAGGAAGACGTTTTAGGTATGACAGACTCGGAGAATGAAAACGTGCAGCTCACACCAACTGCCGTGAGCTTCGTCTCCGCGCTTCCACCTTCACTCCTCCTTTTCCTCACACGTTTTCCCGCCTCGACATTCGACTCAAGCTTTTTCTACCTAGACTGGACTTCTTCCTCTGGTCCCACCGCTCTTCCCGCCCTAAGTGCATCGCTCCCTTGTCCCCGCCATTACCTGGCACTTTCCACCTAATTGTTTTCGCTTTTTTTCCCTTCCGTGTTTAATCCATGCATGTGAAAAGGATTCATGATCCAGCATCTGTGTTCTCTTCCATGATGGTCTCCCTCTCCTTCTCTCGGTGACACCCCAAGGTTCCCGCTCCCGTTTTCCCTCAGATATATGTTTCTCTTCCCGCCCTCACCTCATGGGCTTGACTTTCACTCCTCCATTTCTTTAGGCGCCTATCCCAGACTTTCCCCCCTTGTTTTAGGCATGTGACCCGTTTTATTTTACAATCTTGAAGAAGAGTGAAATCATTCTTTCCCTTTGTTTCTTTTGTTCTTTAATTTGTTTAATGAGTCGAAACACACATATGGCTGCCACCACAACCAACGACAGCGACAATCACAATTACAAAACCACACTCCCAAAAAGCTCTTTTGCCACTTTTGCCGCCTATTTGGGGGGGGGTGGTGGTGTGATAAAATTATCCCTGGCTTTCTACACGCCTTCTCACTTCCCGCCTTCTTTGCCTCGTATGAATTCACTTCCCCACACGAGCTCTGACACCTCGTGTTTCCTCACGTCACAGCCAACGTTATTACCGTGAAGGGACCCAAGTTTTCTAACCATCTTTTCTATATCCTGCCCCTAACTCCACTCCTGTCACAACTTCTTCCCTCGCCGCCTTATAGTCTCACGTGCATAATTCGGCACACATTTTCCCGCGCGTTCTTGGCACAGTCCCCCCCCCCTTCCTCGAAGCTCACACGCGCAGAATCTCATCCAACAGCGCGCGGCCCGCGCCCAGAATGGGGGTTAGCGGTGGGGTTTTCTCTAAGGACATTTTCCGGCTCCCAGAAGAAAAAGTAGGGGGACCCTCCGCCTGAGGCACCCTCTCGGAATCCCTCCTTGCCGTCTTAACTTTCCGAGCAAGGAACACTTTGTTACGACCAAAGATACCGAACGTTTATGGAGAGCAAACAGTGTGCTCAGGGCGCTCCCTCTCTGAGGAGAACCGCATTGGCTCTTTGCCTCCATGGCAGGGAGTCCATTTTAACTGGGAGATTTCAGGGCGCGGGCCCCTGGAATTGGGGGCGCCATGGGGGGAGGGGGAGGCTCACGGGATGACCAGCCTGAGGTGTCCTGTCCTCTAATCTCGGCAAACCTTTTGGACAGGACTCTGTACTTGTCGGGCAGCGGGTTAGATCAGTGTCTCTCTGTGGAGAGCGAAATTGGCAGCCAAGTCTGACACTGGCCACAATCCACAACCCGCCGATATCTGTGGTAAAAAAATTCCCTCGGTGTTAATAGCTTCGGCTCCTTTCAGTGCAAACGCTGGACTGCTAACGCTAAGCACAAGTAAAACAAATGGTCCCCAACCCACAAAGAACCCACAAAGAAGCCTTTTAAAAACCCTCCTCTCAAGCGTGTGTTACTTTTGATATAATATTGTCACACACGCCCCATATTTTGCCGGACTTGGTGAACTGAAAGCTAAAATTGGTTGGTTCGAGATGATCTCGCATTCTCCTCAAAGGCGTGATTATAATGAAAGGAAAAGCACAGTCTCTTTGGAAGAAGGCGTTCAGAGACAGGGACGTTGCTTTAACCTCCCCATTCTTGGTTAAAAAGAAACACCCATCTCTCCGACGTTATTATATCGAAGGACTCGATCCTTGACGTGCTTCACCTCCGATTCCAAACCCTGTGCATGGAAATTGATCCCCGCGATTTAAAATAGTACTGCCACCTCATGGATTTAGGACTCAGATCTAAATCAGTCTGGAGAAGACATGTTTCGGCTTAATCCCTCGTCCTGGTTAGGGGTGACTGCAGGCTCTCTTCCCTTCCTCGTAACAGAAAGGAAAACATTATCCACGTCTATAAATAGTATGAATCAAAAAAAAGATGGAGGGCTGGACATTTTGCTATCCTCAAGCCATCTTATCACCCTGAAAGGATGATAAAAGAATAACGTCTGCATCAGTTAAAACAACAATACTGTAACTGCAAATGAGTTGATAACACTGCCCTCACCCTAATTCCCTTCTCTGCCCTCAGTATTGTCGATGAAGTAGCAGTTCCCATCAGATACACTGAAGCAGGACAATTTCGAATTGACTTGAGCTCACCCTTTAACTGGACATTCCTTGCTTTAATCAAAAAGGTTGCAGAGGAAAATTTGGTGTGTGGACTAATTAACCCTTTAGTCCAAGTGCCCCTTTTACAACAGCAGTATTTGGGGAAACCTGATGGGTTTGTCTTTCCAACCTTTTGTCAATGTCATGTTAATATACATGGGGACACCTGAAAGACAACATGTACTTAGGAGTGCTGTTGGTCCCCTTTCTTACAATTTACAGAGAGTAATCTGTCCTACTCTGCTAGAGAAAAACCAAAGAAGTTTTGTGTTATCTTAAAGACTAACACAATTTACTTGATACTTTTATGGACTTCAACCCACTTTACCAGCTGGATAGAATGTTGTCTCTGCTATACATGTGTAGGAGTTAGGACTTAGAATTTCAGTATAGGAGGGCATTAGTTTCCGGACTCTTCACAAATAGCATTCAGTGGTCATTCTGGTATCTCCCTTCCCAGTTATAGAGTCAATCCAGGTAGGGAATTCCACTAGATTCCCCTCCACTTTTGTCACAGAACATTAATGATATGAAACAAGGAACTTGGATTTTTGTCTTTAGCCCTGAACTGGAGTTGCACTGTTACCCTTTTCCCAGCCTGCATATATAATTACTATCTGAGAAAGCGTTTATCCATGTTGGAGATGAGGGGTGAGGGTAGGACTTTTTTTCTTTTAAGTTGTGGAGACAACGCTGGTCACATTCCATTTATAGCCATTCAACTGCATTGAAGTGAAAAGGGACTAACTGGTGCAATTAAGGGCACTCCAGCTATTGTCCATCTACATAAACTACTGAATATTTAGCGACTAAATCAGACTTGAAAAGATGAATGACAACCTCTGTATGTGAATCACTTCCCCCCTAAGCTGTAACATGACTTCCCCAAAATCAGATATGGGCAGCTGACTATTTAATTACAATACAATACAGTCTTCCTTAGTGCAACCTTTTAAAATGATTTTTACTGAAAGGTTAATCTTGGAAAGTTGACTTCATAGTGGGGACCTCATGAGAATCCACTCTTCCTCCCCAACAAAACCCATTATAATAGACATATATGACACAAAACAGATTAACTCTCTCTTTTTATTAGAGGGTAAAAATGGAAATGCAAAAATCAAAGTCTTGTTTAGAAAGAGAAACTGAGACAACTGTCAAACAATTAAATATTTCTGTAAGACATGACATCAAATGCAGCAGTCTTGGCTACACACAAATCTTGCAATATTGTGTACAAAGTATGAATTCCTTTCCAGCATAAGTGCATCAAAGTTTCATAAAAAGGTATGAACAAAGGAAATAAATTTATAAACCAACAATTTATCTTCTTCTTGGATCCAGTTCACTGTCAAAATCTGCAGTCACTGCTGAGTTGTTCTCTCTAGGCTTTTAGCTGCATCTTTTAGTTTTCCAACTAAATCCTAAAACACAGAGTAAGAACTTCAGAAAACAAGTATTTTACTGGATACATTGGCCATTTGCATGCATCAGAAGTTCTATGAAACTTCTGTCCTCAATGGATACAAAAACTGCATGTATACAATTTGTGTCCGTGTTCAGAGTATTACCCTTCTTCCTAGAATTCAACTTAATTGGTATCTTTAAGAAATAGACATTATCTAGCATATATTGGTAAAGTAGTACATATGTAACATTTCTAAAAGGAATACTGCACTAATACCACTGGCACATTTTAGAAAATACAAAGCAAGTATTTAACTTAATTTAAAAATGTTTAAAGTTTAAAAGTATCAGATTGTAAAGTCTTACATACTTTTTGCCAAACAGTAAGTTGGATCCATGTGTTCATAGACACATAGACTGTATTTGAAATAGACTGAATTTTCTATATAAATATGACGCATAAAAACTAAAGTTTATATTGATACAGTGCAAATACTAAATTGCTAACTCGTGTCTATTGCTTACAATTCACAGCTCGCTCAATTTTACAACAGTGCACTTCTATGAATGTTCATTCAGTTGCCTCACAATACTCAATGGAGCTTACTCCCTGGTAAGTGTGCATAAGAATGTAACTTAAAAATATTTACAACATTCAAATCAGGTTTTATTTATTTTGACTAGACATGAATAACATGAATTTCTCAGTGCACCGAGCTCAGTTATAATTTTCCATAAATCTTGGCAAGCTAAATTACACAAGTCTTATGCTGCCTCCACTTGCATGTCAAAGTACATGGTTGTAGAACATGTGTTTTCTCTTTGATAGTACTTTGGAAGAGTTTGCCTCCCCTCCACACTACTTTTACAACAACACAGCCATCATATGGGTTAACTTGAAATCTCTTATTGGCTAGTTACAAAAGCAGATAATTCTACAGTATCATGTTTTCAAAATGTTGAATCATATTTTCTAAAAGTACAGGCTACCAGATGTATATTTTTATGGTACTTTATGCAAAGTTTCCTTTCATAGTTTCTTGGTAGAAAATACAAATCTACTGACACTTTAACACACACACAAGGATAATATAAAGAAATACCTGTAACTGCTCCATAGAACAACTAAAATCAATGTCTGGGTGAGATCTTGAGTCATTGTTCTAAAGGAACAAAACCCCAAGTATTAAACCTTTAATAATTTGCAAGCCTTAAGGCATTATTTAGCATACTAGTGGTAGAAGATTTTTAAAGATGAATACAGTACCTCTACATTTAAGGTCACCAGATAGGTAGGGCAATAGTTTTTATGAAGTTGATTTGTCTAAAGTAGTGAGAAAGGGGAAAAAAACCATTAGAATTTAACACATAAAACTTTTTTTTAAAAAAAATCTACATGGTTTGTTACCTTGATCTGATATTCCAAACGCCAACAAACATCATTTATATGTTGTGGACATCTGCCTGTACTGAAGAATATAACGATATTCTGTCAGTTTGTGCCATACTAGGTGGCAAGCTGTTGTATGTATCTTTTAGGTGGTGGTGGTGGAGACATTTATTGTTCCACAGACAAACGCTATTTAGCAAATATAGGTTAAGGTAGCAAGTTACCTCTACTGGATAATTTGTGCAAATTCTTTCTTTACTGTATCTATTTTAGTATTATTACTTGAAAGGGGCATTTGAAATGTACCTTATACAAAATCTTATGCGTTTACTTAGAAATAGAGTACATCTATATTTAGTGGGTTTTACTTCCTAGCAAATATGTTTAGCACAGCAGCCTCAGAATATAAAAATGATTTCCCTTGACATACCTTCCCAATAATATTTCCAAGTTATCTTTATTTTTCTGCAAAAAGGAAGAGGGAAAGAAAAAAAAGAGTTTGCCAGATTCTACAGATCAAATGAAAATGAATAGGGAAATAAAAGAGAATAAAATTGATTTGAAAACCTGGTATTCAGTGCAAAATTGTTCAATTCTTTCTCTGTCAAACTTACAGTCCTCTAGAAAGGTGCTAGAAGAAAAACCAAAAAAAGATATGTTAGCCTTAATACCAGTATGAACAAGCAGGATTTAAAGCAACTGGTGTTTAAAAAAAATTGGAAGGGCTTTAAAATGGGAATACCTTATGGCAGATTTGTCAGCTCCCTGCTTTCCAGCTTCTGCTATACAAGTTGCAGCTGCTGCATGGCAATATTTTAATACTGCTGGATCAATTTGTTCCAAGTCTGGGTGATCTAAAAATAAATGAGTTGATATGCTTTGGGGAAGCTTTAAATATGTATGTTTCCAAATCTTTCCCTTCACATAGGGATCCTAAGCAAAGTATGAGTATAGGTGAATAGGAGGTATGTCATATTTGCCCATTTAAAATTCCAACTGTTAAGGTAATATTGATCCAGGATTTATCTATCTAGATCTCTGTTCATAAGGAATCATAAATAATGTCCTTCAAATCATACATAATAATCCCCCCAGCTTAAAATCTGACCCCAGTTGTTTCCAGATCTCTATCATATTAGAGAGAAATTTTGGCATAGAGGATTGAAAGACAGAAACCGATCTAATAAGTTTTCAAAACAGTGTTCTGGTTTTCCCCGTTCTGCCTGTGTTTGTTTACATGCAATTTACTCCTAGCCAGCATCGAGTTATGGAACAAATTAAGCGGCAGAAAAATGGCAAAGGAAATTAATGTTGGTTGTTGTGGGTTTTTCGGGCTCTTTGGCCGTGTTCTGAAGGTTGTTCTTCATAACGTTTCACCAGCCTCTGTGGCCGGCGTCTTCAAAGGACGGGAGTCAGAACTCTGTCTGTGCTCTGTTCTTAGCGTTCTTAATGTTATTAAAACTATTTCTTTCTGGGGTGTAGGGCATTAAATACTTTCCCCATTACAAACTGGCAAATGCAGCCGCAGCAGAGACAACATAATGAAGACATTTTTCTTTCAAGTAAGTACTGTACGGAAGTCATTTTAAAACAGAGGCATGGTTAGGTTTTCTAACTATACTCTGAACAGCGTGTCACTTCAGAACTCGCTATAAACTCTTTTAGAGACAAAAACAGCCAACTTTTTGTTTCTGAGTCCCGCTTGGATAAACAGAACCGTTTTACTCGACAATTGCAGTTCAGGCTAGTTCCAAGCGGAGGCCGCGCGTTTTCAAAGCAAAGCTGCTCCACAGCAGCACTTAAGGCGACCGACTAAAACAGCAAAGCAAAGCGGACGGCCGAATGCCAGTATCTAGATCGCTTGCCAGTAGGCAATTACCGATAAACTCGAGGATTTTAACTTTACATTTACAAACCGACCAGCAAAAGGAGCTACATTTCTGAGTTAAGCCCAGAAACCTTGAGGCTACCACTGGGCCCTTTGAGAAACAAATCGATCTATGTATAACCTCGACCTTTACAAAACCTGACTCTCCGATCCCAGGACTGCTGAGGAAAAACTCGCCGGGGGGGGGGGGAATTAAAAGCTATGTAAATCTGCCGACAACGAACACTAGTCAGGAAAAAAAAACACATTAAGCAACGACTAGCTCTCGGGAGCAAGGTTTCTGCAATGCTTTTAGGCCAAAACTGAGTGAGAGGCACATTTAGCCTTCTGCGAGGAAATGACAATCGCAGGGAAGTGGAGAAGAGCCACAACAATAAAGAGAAAGAAAAGAAACAAAGAGACGGCAATATGTGGGTGGTGACATTCAGCCACGGCTCGATACAAAGGGACACTTCCTGTGTTTCAGGGAAGCAACCTTCTCTTGCAAAGACAACAAAAAACCAGGCTGAACAATGCAGCACGACCGAGGGAGAGGAAAAGCAAAGAAAGAAAAAGCTCCCCCGTTTTCCTTTTGCAATGGATTTCCACCTTTCTCTAGCTCCCAAAGGCAAACACTACAGGTTTAATTCAAGCCAGCCAGAGGATTTCGCTCGGGAAACCATACTTACCTAAGGCGGCCTGGTCGGCCTGCCCGCTGAGCAAGCTCCGGAAAGCAGTCTCCACCAGAACCGCATAAGCTCTTGGGGAGAAGCGGCCACGATCGGCGAGGATCTGCAAGCCGCTCTGCACAGACTCCGACAGCTCCATTGTGAGCCGCGCTGTGACCTTCGACACGCCGCCCACGTGATCGCCGCGCTCAGCTGATCCTGCCGCACAAGGAAAAGCGGCGGCGGCGGCGGCTGCTATTGCAGCGGCGGCCGTTTATTTCAGCTCAGAGCCAGCTATTGGGAAGTGTGCAGTTGCCGTTGTTCTTGTAGCAGAGAGTTCAACGCTC